ATTTCCTTGATTTAATTTAAAACCCATTAACAAAGAATGAAATAAAGTCCTATATATATATATATATATATATATATATGTGTGTGTGTGTGTATATTGATTTCACAACTTCTACAGTCAAATTTGTTGAGTCTTGATATACCAGCATGTTGTTGCTTTTAAATGTTAACACCCCGAAATGGAAAAACAGAAAGGGAATAAGTTTCATAGTTCCTGAGGGAAACGCTCATATATAAAATATGCACATACTATTTGATCGACCTTAAGTTTGATCTCATAACCACTCAGCTTAATCAAGAGCAGAAAAATCAATTTAATTGCCAATCAATCTGAGCAGTGTGGTCTACTTTACTTACAAACATTAAAATGAAAATGAAGAAAAGGACCTGACATTTAACTTTTTTTTTTTTTTTCGCAGACAGGCATCCCTAAGAGGCCTCCTGACAAACATTACTTTACAACATCAAATCAATGCTGGCAAATTTGGAAACAATAGTTAATGATTACCACAGAGTCTATAGGATGGTACTTTATGTTCTCAGCACAAATTGAGTAGACTGAGTCAGGATGCAGCATTAGCCTGCTTTGCTGGAGCATTACATTACTAAGATGTGCTCAATCAGCCTTGGAATGACGTCACACTGAACACTGTCAGGCTTCTTAAAAGTGTGCTCATTTCTACGAGCTTTACTGCGTCATTGCTGTGTGGCATGGAGGCAATGAGCCTGGGGTTCTGCTGAGGTGTGATAGGAGCTTATAGATTGATTGGATAGCAGATTTCAGGTCATCTGCATTCTTGTGTCTGGTGCCTCTCATCTTCGTCTTGACAATACTCCACAGACTCTTTCGGGGTTCGTGTCAGGTCAGTTTGCTGGCCAATGAAGCACAGGAACACCATGGTCATTGAACCAGGTCCTTGGTACCTTTGGCAGTGGGGCAGGTGCCAAGACTGGATGGAAAATGAAGCAGCATGAGGACGCAGGAGGTGTTTTCTGATTTCCTGGTAAATGGCTGCGCTGACTGTGGACTTAAGAAAACAAACGAACACCTACAGATCAAATAGACTGGGATCCAAAGATGGTATTTTTGGCCATGGTGGCCCACCATGATTATTTATATGATAAGCAAAGGTACATGACATACCAGAGGATGTATGTGCAGGTTGTGTTTCAAAAATTAAAATAAAACACAGCAGCCTAAAAGGATGAGAGTAACCATGTTAAAAAACTGATAGGCTCTTTCACTACTCAGATATTTTTACCTTGAAAAAGATGGCCACAGTGTCACAATTCCCATTTTGAAATGAAAGTGAATGTTAAAGAAACACTATTAGAGATATCGGTAACACTTTATTTGAAGGGGGGTGAATAAGACTGACATGACACTGTCCTAAACATGACATAACACATGTCATGAACATGAATAAGCCTTCATGAATATTTATGACTGTTGTCATAAAGAGTCATTCAGTAAATTATGACACTTTTAATACAAAGTTGACATTATTCAAAATGTCTTTGTTATGACAACTTGACATTAACCAAGAAATCATTACTTTTATAAATTTGTTATAAAATAATTACTGATTGCACTTTAAAAATTAGGTAACTTTATGTTATTAAAGGTAAAGTTTAAACAGTAATGGTTAATGTCAAGTTGTCATAACAAAGACATTTTGAATAATGTTAACTTTGTATTAAAAGTGTCATAATTTACCGAATGACGCTTTATGACAACAGCCATAAATATTCATGAAGGCTTATTCATGTTCATGACAGGTGATATGTCATGTTTATGAAAGTGTCATGACAGTCTTATTCAACCCCCTTCAAATAAAGTGTTACCGAGATATCTTATCAGTGCTTTATGAAATATTCTGTTTGAACAATGCACAATTATAGTAGGACCATATATCCAGGTAAAATAAAGAGTTCCTCATCAAAATGACTGTACAGAATGAAAAACAGAGAGGATTTCATTACTGTTATTTCTACCAAAGAAAAATGAAAAAGAAAAACATCTATTTCAACAAAACATTGCTTCACTAATACTTTGTAATAACTGTAAGCTGTAAGACCTGCTGCAAGATAAAATAACTCTAAGTTGGACATTTAGCATAGCATCATTTGCAACTACAACCTAATATTAAGCTTGTTTTAAGTTTGACTGACTAAAATAAGCCTTGTAATCATTCCCTATGTTGAGCATTTCCACATTTTGGTAAAAACCTCCCCAGATAGTGTTGAGTGAAGATGTGTCTCTAACCTTTTTTAAAAATATTTTTAATTGTGTTAATATCTGTCTTAGCTGTTCCATTTGTTCCTTCCTTTTTTTATATATATTTTCTGTTTCAATTCACTACCTTAGTAATATATTATTGACACTAACCAAAGTGTGTTCATCGTTAACTCCATAGGCCGTCTTCATTCCCGCGATGGTCCATCATCTTGCTGGCATGCAGTCTGTGTTTTTCTGACTGCGTGCCAGCTCACGTTTTGTTTACCCCCACCCGAATTCACTAACTCGCTCACGCTCACTTGCCCTCCTCCCTACATGAAACGCTCCCCCCTTCATGAACATTTTGACTCCTTTTTACTGGGCAGACAGTAAATAATCTGACCTGTTCCTCAATCTGTCCCTGGTCACGTCTCTCTCGTTATCCTCCTCCAACGAATCCCCTGAATTGCTAATTCTCCTTCATTCTGCGGCGCTGAACCCGCTTCAGTGATTCGGTGCCGCAGAAGGAGAGAGGGAGAAAAACCACACAACTCATCAAACTGCGGAAACTTCACGCTGGACTTCAAGCGGCATGGACTCTTTGCCTCTCCACTCTTTCTCCAGACTCTGGGAACGTGATTTGAACTAAAATCAACGCACTATGAAATGAACTAAAAACTTTACTTTCATCTGAAAAGACGACTTTGGAAGCACAGAGTAATGGTCCAGTGTCTGGGTTAGGATTGGAGAGACATAAGGAGTGCGACATTTGAGCCCATGTGGAGGATTTGTTTGGGTATTGCTCTTGATCCGTTAACTCCAGCCTCAGTCCACTCCTTATGAAGCTTCCCCAATTTCATTAATTGATTTAATTTGACAATCTTTTCAAAACTGCTGTTGTCCCTGTTGCTGGAGCCTCTTTTTCCTTCTACTCAACTTTCTCTGAAAATACTTGGATACAGTACTCTGCGAACAACCAACAATGACCTTTTGTGGCTTTCCCTCCTGATAGATGGTGTCGAGGTCATTACGTATTATACATTAAAAATCATTTTTTCAAAATTGATCTTAGATAACATTCTAATTTTCTGAGACACTGAATTGTTGGGTTTCCATTTTCTGTAAGTCAAAATCCGACTCCCCCTGATGACAGTGATTTATCTCTCAGCCTGCAGCTCGCCACCCTGTGAAAGAATCTTATTTTAGCTGTTTGTGTCCCGTGTCTCCTTCTTTTGGTCACAGTCCATATGGCCATAGGTGAGAAAAACAGCAAACCAAGAGCTTCTCTTCATCTCTTTCCTCAACCGACAGACCGGATTAACACTTGTATTACTACAGATCACACCAGAATCCATCTGTCAATCTCCCGGCCTCTTCAATCTTCCATCACTCATGAACGAGAACGAGGCTCTTGAGCCCTCTACACTTGAAGCAAAGGCAATTTAGAGTGTCCGCTCACAGTCTATCGTAAAGAAATGTGGCTTTATGACTGGAATAAATAATATATCAGATCCCTCAGAGGTAATTATTAGGCTATGTCATAGGTTATATTGGCTTATAATAATACATATTTCAAAAGACTCAACTGGCCTTATTGTGAGTCACACCATAAATTTAAACAATTGCAAAGTTTTTAGACAATGGCATACTGTAAAATCATACTTAAGGTCTGAACATGAAAATAATTTCTGGGAAAAGTGAACCCAGAGAAAAATAAAGTGATGAACAATAGTTAACTACAGGTATTTAAATATAGATATATTTGCAGGAATTAAATGACATTGATGGAAAATGGAGTTGCAAGCTCATTAAAGGAAGAACGGGTGTGAATGAGGCAAATGTCAGTGTTTCAAAGTTTTAAAACAAAATAGTCCATAATACCAATGGCTTCATTTGTTGAGATGACAGAGAAATATGTGCAGTTCAAAGGGAAAACAATTGTGTTTGTTGTAAATTTTGTCAGGTATCACCCGGTGTTTAAAGACAATAACAAGTCAGTGGATTTTAGCATTTGCAGCCCTTTTCGGTTTAACGCAGCAAATCAGTCAATTTTCCACAACTTTACCCATAATAACACGACTCCTTAATGAAGCACAACCTCGTAGCTTAAAACGGGTACACTGCTATAAGAGTGCCCAGTTAGAGGCACACAACGTTATTTGCTCAAAGTCAGCCCTTGAAAACAAGTTTTAACAAGACAATTTTCACAGGCAGAATTCAATTAAGAGTGATTTATCACTTCAAATGGATGCGCTCCTGTAGGAATATTAGGCGAAGAGAAGCGACGTGACGATTCTCGGGAAGACCGAGAGGCGCGATAAGGTCACTGATTTATCTGTGGAGCACATTATACAGCAGCACACTGACGGAGCATTTACAACCAGCTCACAACACTTGGGGTCGTCAACCTGGCTGTCAGTGGACGTGATGACACCCAGCAGGTCGCACTCACTCACACTACTACGCTCGCTCTGCGTTTTGGCTCGTGGTTACACGCCGTGTGAATGTCAGCGGAGCGCTTCTACTGAATGCAAATACCTGAGCAGGTAAGCGGAGTTACAAGACGGACTTACATCTCAGAGGACGGAGGTTGGCTACGGCAGAGGAGCGCGTGTCCGCACGCCTGTCCCATCGCGCATCCTGCCTGGCGCCTCCTTCTCTAACCCGGCTGCAGTCAGGGGGGTGAAGGGGGTGAGCTGGCGGGAGAGCAGCCTGTGTGTCGGTCTGTCGAAAGAGGATATGCGTTTGGATGGGTAGATGATGACTGGGTGTGTGCTTCCTTGCTTGCTTTCTCTCTCCCGGTCTCTGCCTGCCTGCTTGCTCTTCTCTCCAGCTCTGATAGCGCGCAGGGATTGGTCGGGACCCGGTAAGTGATATTCGAGCCGCGGTGAGCGAGCATATAACAGCTGAGCAAAGAGACAAGAGAGCAGCGGCGGAGAGAGCCCAGCCGTTCAGAACTACACAGATGCATCAGGAGCCAAACTGAAGATCATACACGATCACGCTCTTTTCCTCCCCTCGTAATTTCCAACGGTGGCCATTAAAATGAGCTGTGAAAATTAAACTTTGACCTTGTACCTTTGCACTTTAGTTGCGCATTTTCTCTCTGTGTGTGTTGCACACAGACACCGTGCATTAGATCCGCGGCGAGACAAGATCTGGAATTGATTCCTCTCCCCAAAGATCTCAGTGGCTGGATCAGACGGGTTTCAATAGGAACCACACGCTGCTCCTCTCCAGCGCCAGTCATGGGACGCTGCAGGTCTCAAAGGTCCGTCACATATCCCCACCATATAAGGTGCTTCCAGGCTGATAAAACAAACCTGGAATTTAACTAATAAAACAGCTGTAAGAATTTGTGTGCAATTAATCTGGGTTGGTTTTATTTAAAACTTTGCTTTTATATCAATAAACTCATACAAAGCTGTTTACCACGTAGGTGGGTACAGTACCTTCAGACTTGTATTAATCAGTGGCACATACAGTATATGGCATACTGACATTTTGGGGAGGACGAGCTGAAGCGGGGAATTAAAGAGCCTATGGAACCACTGGCTGCAAGTAGTGTGAGATTTTCATAACAAAATTATTGTAGATTGGTTAAAACACAAAACATTGCCTCGCACTTTCTGAGTCAAAATTTGAAACTGGCGTTATCCTTATTTTGTTTTTCTTAAACACCGAGCACCACATGTTTTTCCTGATTACATCATTCTGTACTTTTATCACAAAATATCCTCTGCACTCTAACTTTTTATTGCAGCAAAGCAAGGCACCCTGACAAATCTACCAGGGTAGATCACACTACAGTTACTTTCATAAACCTAATTAACCATTGACTGTTCTGCAGCTTAAATCAGCTATACCCAGAAAAAAAAAATACTTAGCATTTCTTAAATTAGAAATTCTGGATTATTAATTCAAATACTCTTGCTGGGGGGGAAAAGTAAAATAAGACCAACTATTCTATATTATATTGATTTTAAATGGAGACACAACATTTCTTAAGATTATGTTTCATTAATCACATGGAGGTAAACAAGTGCAGTCAACAGGTGATAAACAACCGGAGCACAAAGTTAAACTCAATTGCAAATCATCTTCCTTAATGCATATTTGAAACCTGCAAATTGATATTGATTGGTACCAAATATTCCTGATTAACAGTGGCAGTCAGGGGTGCACACATACAAGCTCTATTGCTGCAGACAGCTCTGCTCTATTCTCCTATCCTAACCTTTACTGTTTCTTTCATAAAATTATCATATTTGCCCTATATTATAAAAAGAGATAAAAAAAAAACTAGAATTGGTTTGTGACTAAATGTTACTAAAATTGTAATTTTAATAACTCTATTATTAAAGTGTTGCATGAAAACCTTTTCCCTGACAGCTGCATTGTACTATTGGCAATGACTGCCTTAGGATCTACACATAATCAGTGTGAACAAAGAAATTTGTTCTCTCTCTCTCTCAGGACTGCAAGAACAAAATTACGTTATTCTGTTCAGGAGAATTGGCATTGGACGTTTTGCAGCTTGACACACTTTCTGGGCAGAGCATTTTTTTTTGTTTGTTTTGTTTTGTTTTTTTGTTTTTTTGCCTGGTGTCTGAAAACTACTATATGCAAATGCTAAAACCTCTCAATGAAAACTATACATGGGTTCCTGTGAAGTATATCCTGGCCAAAAGGAACGTTGTTCCTGCCACCTCAAGTAAAAGAACAAAATAATCTGTTCTTGAGGAGAATTTTAAGTTCGATTTTAACATTAGCATTGTTGCTGAACTAAATGAGACGTAAACTGTTAGACTTTTAAAATCAATTTCTACAAGTTGCTATGACAACCACAGCGAACAGGAGGTATTCATTGGTAACAAACACTTCAAATGCTCAGCAGGCTAACAAGTTTCATTTTAGCGTTGTAGCTAAACTTTTAAAAGCTGGATTAAGTTCTTGCTCCAGCATAAAAACTCTCTCAACCACTAATCTTATAATAGTTTCTACAGTTTACAAGGTTGAGATGCTCAATCAAAACATTTATACTCCACATAAACTCACTCACATCTTCAGCTGGATTTCAACGACAGTCAGGAAGGATGTACCAGAAAAATATTTCAGTTGATTTTCTTTGGCCATTGAAAAACTCATATGTTTGATTAACATTTGATCATTTTAACGGACATTATTCATTATGCTCCAAAATTTCCTGCTCATCGTGCAGAAAAAAGCAACTGGGACTCGATGCCATTGCAATGACTGGTGTGCTACTGGAGTCGCATTCAAAGATGCCTGGGAGCTGTTTTACATTTTTGCTGACAAGTGAAAAAGAAAACAGAGTAGAACTATTATTACCCTGTAGCCTTCAGTCATGAACACCACAGGTGTCGACAATTATTTAGCCTAATTAATCCTCCACCTAGGGCTCAAGTGCACATACAGGCTGTGACTGATTGACAACTTAGTAATTTCTGTTTAATTGGTTACACATGCTAATCATCCTGTTAATCATCAGAATTTCTAGCATTTTTATTACTTCTTGAACTGAATAACCTCTAAATCTAAACCCCTAAATTTCATAATATCAGACTGCGCAGAGGACAAATTTACCATAAATCCATTTGTGTGAATTTCCCATTTCAGAGATTAAAATTTGCAGTAGTAATATTATTCTGTTTCCCTTGCCTTTTTTGTGCAAATGTCCTCATCCGGAGTTTTCTTTTTCTATCTGTGTCAGTGATTCACAACGTGGAGAGGTGAAATAAGTTTGGATTTGTGTGATTCTCTTCAGCGTTAGCAAACGCTGTTCGTATACATTACTGTGCATCAAAGCTTGAAGACAAAAGATCACTTTTGTCCGTCTTATCTAGTGAGAAATATATATATATATTTTAGGTTTGTTTTGTTTTTTTAGCTTTTGTTCTACGTTTTCAGTAAGATTCTCTCTTGTGAGGTTTTGTCTTGACAAACAGGACACTTATCATGTTCTGCCACTCTTTTTTTTGCTTCTAAAGTATCTATCTGTGTCCTGGAGAAAGTTTTTGTTGCATTAAAGTCTGGAGAATTTTCTTTTCTTTACTCATAGTATTTAGCCTGACAGCAAAAGTTGTCTGGGCCGGCTCTGGGCCAAATTTAGGTGAGCATTTTCACGGACCCATAAACAGACCTGAGTCTTTTTTACTTTTCTTTTTTTTTTTTTGCCACCTGGTATGTTAATCAGCTGTGACTTTCCCCAACCCTTTCAAATGGCTCAAAGTCACACTGAAGCAATCTGATTTAAAAAACCCACAAAGTTTACAATTTTAAATACCTTGAAACTGATTATATCAAGAGTGATTTCTTCATAACGTCTTCTAATATAATTTGCAAACAAACAATTTTTTTTTAAAGAAATTTGTCTTTCTTTCCGCTTCTGCCCTGGCCAATTGATCCTGGTTTTGCCATGGTGCATCACACATTTTGTTTATGTTATGTATTTGAAGAGGTAAAAAAATGTATTTTCAAATTAATAAAGGCAATGTTATATTAACATTTGATGCTGTTTTCTTGGCACTGTGCCCCTGTTTAGTAGAACTTAGCAGTCATGGTCACAAGTCTCTTCCTCGTTTTATTTATAGTTGGAATTTCCAAAAAATGTAGAAGCCATTGCCCTATAGCAATCCAATTAATTTAAGTTATTTGCCATTACTGAGTCTTAATGGCCAACCTTCATCTTTACATCAGACTTTTACACATCATAGGTACAGCAATGTAAATAATTCACACCTTTTTGAAGTGCTTACCTTTTTATAAGAACCCCTGCTTAGATCCCATACTCCACGTCTTTCGTCATATTTCTAGCATCTTCGTGTCGAGTGACATGTTTTCTGTTGTTTTTCCTTGTGTTTAACAGCCTACAAAACTCCTGGGCATGCAGCGCAGCAAGTATTTGATCAGCGAGGAATCCTCCCACATTGTCATGAATCTACTGAGCAGTGACATCTGGCAAACTATTGAACTCCACATGTCTCCACTAAAGCCAAATCCAGTCACATCAGTTAACATTAAGTGATTTTTTTTTTTTTTCTCAAAGCTGAGTAGAGGGGAAAATGTACCACGGCTCTGGGAGCAGAAGAAAATCCTACAGTCTTTACCACAGCTGGTCATTAAGAGCAATACATCCACCTGTTCTTTAATTGGTTTTGCCTCATTGGTGTTGTTTGGGAGCTTCACTCTCCTCTTGAGAGGTTCGTCTAACCTGTGTTGCTTCGTCACAGTGAGTGCAGGATTAGCTAGCTGAACTCACTGCATTTTCCTGAGTGTGCAAATTGTAAATGGCCAATTAAGTTGGTGAAAACCGAATGTAGCTCACTGGGAAGAGGCCGCAGGACATAAGGAGATTATGCTGGAGGGTCTATGTGTCCCTTCTGGCCTGGGAACATCTTGTGATCCCTCAAAATGAGCTGGATAGAGGGGTATCTGGGTTTTCCTTTCCTTTTTTGCCCTCACTCCCTCTGATAAGTGGAAGATGATGAATTGATGAAAACTTGAAAATCTATTTTCTCAGACATGGAGATGTCCACCTTTCCGTCTGAATTTTTTTCACTAAGCAACATTTGTCTATGTATGCATCACTGTCAGATTTTAGTAGGTAAGAAAAAACAAAAACTTAACATTTCGACACTACACTGCAAAAATCCCACCACATCAAGACACTACAGATCTTTATTCCTCCCTCTCCCCCCAGCCAAGCAGTTATGGAAATCATTGTAAACTACATTGCCATGAACAAAAAAATACTTCCTATACTTGGAAATCCAAAGAACACAGAGTTTGTGTGAAAGATAACTCTGGAGGACAATTTAAAGATAACACAAGTTTCATTATGTGTTGCTGTTTATAAGAGTGATCCTACTATCTCTACAACCAAAGCTTCTCAGACACTGCATGGAAAACATATTAATGAAGGTAAAACAAAATAGTTGAGATATAACAACACGAGGCCAGACAAAACACCCAAAAGAGGAAAGATCAAGATAACTATACAAAGTTACACTTTCATAGCACTACGGCTCTGCAGAGGTCTGGTAGATTCAGGTGTCTTGGACAAGAAGTTGCAGGAAAGGAGCTGGAGTTTGGCACATCTGCCTTAGAAGAAAACTGTACAGAGATACTCTTTACACAGCAACAGCAGAAGAAACACTAAAAAAAATGCAGTAAAAGAGTACTGTCAGAAAGATTTGGAGCATCTGAGTCATTTATTGACAGCGACGGGATGGAGAATGACAGGTAAGGTCCTGCCGAATATCCAGACTGAAACAGACAAACGAGCCAAACAACTGGATTTTAGCGACAGACCAAGCAGACAAGAA